AACATTAAAATCAAGATGTGTCTCGCTGCATTGCGCGAGTACTCTTCTAGTTATATTATAAAGCATTTGACAAAAACTCTTAGAAATCATTTTTTATGCATGAAATATTGTTTGTTGATGCCTATACAAATTATTATCTTTATAAAAAAATATTATTAAACCTAAAATAAATTACTTCGTTATATGTTAAATTAAATTATAATAAAAATTTTGAATTAAAAAATATACAAATAAAAACTTTTAAATAGTTAATTTCTACTAATATTGATATAACTTTTGCAAATTTTATATGATATTTTCAAATTTATATTTTATTTAAAAATAAAAACATTATCGATTTATTAAAACCATATAAAATCGTATTATATCGACATGGATAAAAAAAAACAAAATATTGAAATAAAAATGTGTCCTATATTTATAATAGTCTTTACCGTAATTTTTAGTACTATTTTTGTACATTTTTATCGACTACTATCTTTAATTTGAGAGTGAAGTTTAATTTTGGTACTTCAAGCTTAGTGCAAGTTATGAAAATGACACCTAACTTTTGATAAGTCTAGAAATTGTCCTTATAGTTTGCATTTTGTTTTGAAAATGGTCCATGTTCACTAACTTTATAAAGATGTCCATTAATAAGTGAAGGGCCAACGTCTTTATCTTTTTACCTATTTTTTAAAGTTCTCTTGATCAGCCTAACCCCGTTCTCCGCCAAATCCTCTAGAAACCTCTTCCTTGTATTCGCCAGTGATACTAGATTTGTTCATGATCATTGAAGATGATTTGGTTCCAGATTTAAGTCCATGGAGATCGGTGGAATACGTCATATCTAAGTTTTGAGACCGATGAAGGAGGTCGGATCTGAGCTCTGGAGATCGACGGGTGAGGTTTGTTGTTGGAGATGGAAAAGCTCCTTGTCGAAGATGATGGAGTTTAGGGTGTTACCTCTATTTTGTCGGAGATGATGGGGACGTGGTGCTAAATTGAGGGAGGGAGGCATGCCAAATAAGAATGAAGATGGTGTTGTGCTGTGAAGGAAAGGGTTCGCTGAAAAATCAAGGATTGTTGTCGGAAAACCACAATGGAGGTGTGGCAGGTGGTGTTTCAAACGGTGATGGTTAAATTGTCTTGAAATACTGAAACTCTATGAATAGGAGCACCAAACCATAACCAATTTGACATTTGATTGGGTAAGGATCAATTGAGAAAAATAATCGATTAAGGTTAATCAACCAAGAGATGAGTGGTTGAGAATAATAGACAAATAAGGGGTTGGTTTAATTCTTTCCAGATAAGAGGACAGTAAGACATAAATGTCTTTAAAAAAAATAGAAAAAACAAACAGTCTGAATAACCCTAACTTTTACTGAATCAAACATAAGAGGCTTATAATAGGTTTTTTAAAACCCTAAGCCTTAGGTAGTGCCAGATTAGTTTGAGCCTAGAAGTCTCAGGTTCAAATCCAAAAGAAAACAAAAATCCTCTTATGGTATCGGAGTTTCAAATGTGATAACTTCGGAATGCCGGCAAAACAAACGGTGAAAGTAGTGATGATATATTTAAGAACTTGTGGTTGAGAATACAGTTTCATTCACCCAACTAAACCACAACCATTCATATCCATGGCTGCCATCAAATATCTCAGGTGGACCACAGACCTCCCACCTCTCTCCATAGCCATAGATAAAACCAGAATCTTGACAGCCAATCAAAATCGAGCTAAAGATTTATAAAGATAAACATCAGATCACCAATCTCACCCAAAACCCCCCTTATAAATCCACTTCAGCACCAACCCATCTTCATAACTCAAACTCTCCCACCATCACAACACCATCTCCTAACCAAACCCACAAAAATGGCAGCTTCCACCATGGCTCTATCATCTTCTTTCGTCGGACAAGCAGTGAAAGCAGCACCGTCTGGTTCTGAGATCATCGGAAATGGAAGGGTGTCCATGAGGAAAACAGCAGTTAAGAAGACTGCACCATCAGGAAGCCCATGGTACGGTCCCGACCGTGTTAAATACCTCGGCCCATTCTCCGGTGAGGCCCCATCTTACCTCACCGGAGAATTCCCTGGCGACTACGGTTGGGACACCGCCGGACTCTCCGCTGATCCCGAGACGTTCGCCAAGAACCGTGAGCTTGAGGTCATCCACTGCAGATGGGCCATGCTCGGAGCTCTTGGGTGCGTCTTCCCCGAGCTCTTGGCTCGTAACGGAGTCAAGTTCGGCGAGGCAGTATGGTTCAAGGCTGGAGCCCAGATCTTCAGCGAAGGTGGTCTTGACTATTTGGGAAACCCTAGTTTGGTTCATGCACAGAGCATCTTAGCCATCTGGGCTACTCAGGTGATCTTGATGGGTGCGGTGGAGGGTTACAGAATTGCGGGTGGACCACTTGGTGAGGTGGTTGACCCACTGTACCCTGGTGGCAGTTTTGACCCGTTGGGTCTTGCTGATGACCCAGAGGCGTTTGCTGAGTTGAAGGTGAAGGAGATCAAGAATGGAAGGCTGGCGATGTTCTCGATGTTTGGGTTCTTCGTGCAGGCGATTGTGACCGGAAAGGGACCATTGGAGAACCTGGCTGACCACCTTGCGGACCCTGTTGCAAACAATGCATGGTCCTATGCTACAAACTTTGTACCTGGAAAGTGAATTCAGAACCAAAAGGATCAACTTGTTTGTGAATTAATTACTGATTATTAATATATGGTTTTAGTTTTCTGGCATTTGGTGGTTGTTTAGTTTTTATTTATTATAATTATCTCTTATTTTCTTTTCTCTTTTAAAAAAGTTTCGAAAACATGAGTTTTTTTTTCCTTTTTAAAATTTCGAGAACACAATCTATGGTTAGGAGATGGATAAAAATCTTGTATAAATCTTAAAAAACTTATACTATAATTAATAAAGACTTAATTTTTTTTAAATCAAACTTATACATAATCGGTCCTAGTTCCGGTCCCCTCCTATATTGAGGTGGCATTTGTTTTTCAAGAGATGTTGAATTCTGAAATCTTATTTCATTTCTGATTAATAATGGGTGATGCTAAAGTCTGAAATCTGAATCAATAAGACTAGTTGTTTTTGTAAACTGACAAACGTCTGAAGTGTGAACTTTGAAACAATAGTTTGTTCTTGTAAAATCAGATGCAAACATTTTACAAAAATTCTTTTGATTTTCATACAATTTCATTGTCATCTCAACAATTGCTTATCAGATGGATCACAGTAAGAACCTTTTAGATACCTTTCAAACTTCCGATGCTATCGGAATGCCACCAGTAAGCTTGTTTGTGGAAAGACGATACTTTTGCTAGATGATAAATCGCCGATATAAGTTCTTATTTCACATTAATTTTCAAAGCTAACCTATAAGCATATATATATATATATATATATATAGAGAGAGAGAGAGAGAGAGAGAGAAGGTGAGGGCGTGCATTTCACACTGGTGATAAAAGGACGGTGACATCCTGGTGGAGAAAGAAACAATAGAAAAAGAGAATCAAAGAAATAAGAAACTAAGAGGTTCTTTAAGATATTAATTTATCTCTTATTTATCCGGACCCTATTAAGTGATAAGAAGCTCTGAAAATAATAATAAAAATCAAACAGTCTTAATTACAAAACGTCTGAACAAATCAGACATAAATGATAATTAAGCACCGAAAAAAAAAAAAAAAACCCTGGTCTTGAAATTCCCCAAAACAGTTGGGCCATAACTGGTCCTAACCAATCGGTGCTGAATCAGGTCCAATTTGACCATCTCTATCTACGATAATTCAGCCCAAAGCAAACCTTTATGTTATTAGCTTCTAATGTAATATGACATAAACGATGCTACAAACCAACATCAATCCAAGAAACAAAGATCTCTAACCATCAAAAACTATATTTTCATCGTCGGTTTCGGTTCAACTTGCAATCTTTGTTAGTTACATGAAACAGGTACTTATATCGTTGGTTATCTACTTCGGCTATGCATAAGGTCGGCAAGCGAGATCTTTCCCGAGTTTCCCGTGTCGAGCCGATCAAAAATTGTGCATATCTGCAATATGTCTTTCTCCGTAACCTTTCCCATCTCCTTCAGCTTGTATATCACGTACTCCGACTTGCTGAAATCGTTCGCCATAACAACAAGTAATTAACACTCTTTACTTATAACCCGTATCTAACAGATCTTTTTTGTCCAACAGGCCTAATATGGTAAGACCAATCAGGCATAACAGGTTTGATAGCTAACCATTTACCGTCCTATAAATGGATTGGGCTTGCTCATGGACTAATGGACCCAGAACAAAACACCAAAATGGAACCACTTTCATCTGATTACTATTTTGGGGAGCCAACTTTTAAAATCGTCATTTAATCTATGTACATGATTATGATCTTTTTGTATTGCTCAGGTTCGCCCATTAATATTAACGGACCAGCCCAGCCCCGCCCTGCCCTGCCCCTTTTTTCTAGAATGGTTGTCTAAATCAGCTTTTCTAACGATACCTTGACCCTAATTAGTAGGCACATAGAATCAAAATTCGGGTTTCAAGAATACGAGGAACCCAATCATATTAATCTCTGGAAAAGCCATCGAGAGAAAATGAGGTTCAAACATATACCCAGAAAAAGGGTCCAAAGTCTATCCGACATGGGACTCCAACACCCTACATTCACGTATCTTATTATGTTCATGTGTATCATTTTAGTAGAACTAGCAAATTACCTCACGGAACCATTGTTGTCGATATCTGCAGCAAGAAACTGAGCGACCGTGAGATCTTGACCAAGAACCCATTTAACCATGCTCCTATGCCGCTTATCAACGCGAGCCTCAGCCAAATACAGAAAGGCACGAGCAACAGCAAGTGTCGACACAAGCAACCAAACAGACGCAAAAACACGACCAGCGGTTGTTGTAAACGCTTTATCACCATAACCAACCGTAGTCACGGACATAACCGACAAATAAAAGCAATCAAGCCAACCAAGACTCTCCACAAAATGCAAGACCGCAACACCTATACCGATACAGAGAACCACAACCCCTAATGCCAACGCCACTTTCATTCGTATCCTCATTCGACCCTTTTTCACATCGATTATATACGAAGGATGATCGCCCTTTTTCCGGTTACTTAAAGAACTTAACAAGTAATTCTCTTGAAGATCAAGAACATGACTAACCATCCCACTGAGCAAAATGTCGATAAACCCGAATCCAACCAACACAAACAAGATCGAAAAAAGCTTAGTTACAGAACTGTTGGGAGTTATATCGCCATAACCAATAGTACACATTGTAACAATACAGAAATATAAAGCATCAATAACCACATGAGTCTCAGAACCCATGAAATTTTCCCTGTTATACCAGTATATAATCACACCAAGTAACAAATACATGATCAATAACACAACCGATTGACGAATAATCGAAGGAGACACTAATTGAGGCGGTTTAGGTTTCGAAGGTGGGTCGAATTCGTTGATTGTAGAAATGGCAGGGGCAGTTTTCGATCGATGGAGATTAATCTTCCTAAAAGGGTAATTAGGATCAACTGATCGATTAGAGTCTGGATTTATAACAGGAATTTGTTTAGAAGCCGGATTCGGATCAGAAGAAGAAGCAAAAGCTCTTGGAGAAAGATTATGATTATCATTTAGGTTTAGGGCATCAACAATGTGAGAAGATGATGATGATGACGCTTCTCTAGGAGAACCAAATATAAGCATATCTTTGAACTCCGATGGAGTAAGAGATGCCGGAATAGAGATTTGATTTTCTTCCGGTAGAGGACATAGTAACGACGGCGTTCTCGGAACTTTTCCATACGACGGAAGAAGCGGCTCCTTTTCCATCAGGGGGTTCGCCGGAAAACCGCTTGAAATTCAGGAAATCAAGGTGGTTTTCATGTGGGCATTCAACTACACGACTGAAATCTATAAAACCAGAAGGAAAACATGCGATAATTGAAATCAACCAACCTTGTAATACATGCAAAATCGATTCAGGAAACGTAGTGATTATCTGATGGTAGTGTAGAGTGTAGGGAATTCGTTGATTATTTAGAAAGTGGGGAGTATCGATGAGGGTGGAAGAGGGGGAAAAGGAAGAAGAAGGATGATGAAGGTGGTGTTGATTGAGTCATTATCGATTGTTTCGGGGCCCTAGGAATGCTGGGAACACGATGATATCACGGGGAGACAACAGACTGTAAATTACACCGCCAACTCAGTGCTCCATGGAGGTTTTTTTTTCGCGTCGGATGAGACTAAGTTACAGATTTGGTCCCTTGACTATTTACTAATGTGCAAATTTAGTCCATTAAGAAATTTGTATTACTTCCTTTCGAAATAGTCACATTAATGTCCCTTTTGATTCACGACCGTTGTGACTCAAGATATGTGTCTCATATAACGTTATGATCTCGTCATGGATCATAAGGCTTAAAGGTTGGCATCGTTGTCGTGCTACGTCTCACGTCATTTGAAACCTTGTTTTGATCCCAGTATTTTAAATGGGTGTTTGGTACACAAAAAGAATTGGATATAACTGGAGTGGATGAGTAAAAATGACATGAGTAGTTTAGTAATTTATCAAATTTCTCTCGTTTTTTATATTTGTCCCACCGTTTTTGGTGTGAGAAACAAAATTCATTTTTTTCTCACTCATGCCTTGTTCTGTTATAGTCTAATGCTAAATCAAATATGAGACAATAAGTTTTTGTTTTGTTTTGTCCTGTCTTGGATACCGTACGTACTGTAGCATAACAGCGACTTATTCGGTATTTTCAACCTGAGTATGTAGTGTTATCTTTTTTTCAACAAATGCACCATAAAATTGATTCCATTCGTTACAATTTATGTTTTAAAGAAATATAAATTCTTTAATTCAGTAATTTGTCAACAATTTTATTAGAACACATAAAGTAACGGGAGATGACATCAATTGCTAAAAAGACATTGTTTAATATGTATATATTATGATACATGTGAAGGTTTATTTAAGAAGTGGTAAATATTTGAGAAGTAAAGAAACGATTCTAACATATCGTCTGATCAATATTTGTGGCTTTGACCATGAAGCATGAGATAATTCCTCACATGGGTGTGCGGAAGATAGATGAGTAATTTCGTAACTTTTACAAATAGGCGACAAACGAGTCCATATGTGAACTATTTAACTGATTCATATATGAACCCACGGGTTCACTATGTGAATCGGTTTAATTAGTTTATATGTGAATCACAATGGTTAATATGTGAATTAGTTAATTAATTCATACATGAATAAGTTAAAAGTGTTCATATATGAATTACACGTGTTCACATACGAACATATAGTTTATATGTGAATCATAAAGCTTATTTGTAAACGTTATGAAACTACCCTCTCTATTTTTCGCATAGCCGTAATTTTTGATCAGTCAAATCCAATATTGACCGTATGAAGGGTTAGAATCACTTATTATTTCTCAAAAGGGTAAAATGCATAAAATAGCAATATACTTTCATAAATTTCCTTATTATAGCATTGTACTTTCAGTTTTTCTTATTACAACAATGTATTTTCAAACTATTTTTTATTAGAATATTGTACTTTGAAAAATTTATCCATTATAGTATTGGGTAACCTTTTGATTTAAATTTACCCATTATATTAGGTTTCCATGCCACCTCATTGTCCACGTAGGTTGTCCACATGTACTATAGTGATGTAACTTTCTTACTACATCATTGTACTTTCAAAATTATTTATCATAGCATCTACTAGGTTCTTATTAAACACTTATTTTTAATTTTAATTTTTAGATATTTTACATGTTATTTAATAAATGTATTAAATGAATTAAAAAAATTCTAAATTATTCATTAATACCAATATCAATAAAACTAGTAGAATACAACTTATCTCGCTAATATTTTTTAAAAAATATGTGTTTTTTGAAAAAAAGGAAAATAAGAATTGTTCATTTTTTAACAAAAAAATATTATCTTTTAAAGAATATATTATATTTGTTCAAAAAAAATTTACTTGACGTATAAATATATTAAGTTAATTAGATTTTTTTAATATAGCAATATTAAAAAATCATAGATAACAATTTATTTCGTTAATATTTTAAAGAGAACTTTAAAATATATGTTTTTATTTGAACAAAGTAAAATATGAAAAGTTACCTTTTTTACAAACAAAATATATCTCAAAAATAATATTTCATATTTATTTAATAAATATTTTACTCTAAAAATATTTAATTTGAATGCAACTTAATAAGAAAAAGTAAAAAAAATATTTTTTTAGATTATAGCAATGAAAAATGAAAATTAATAATAATAATAATTAAAAATAGGTTTTTATTTTAATTTTAGTTAAGTTATCAAAATGATGTGTCATCCACATCACCTCATTAAAGCCATACAAACAAAAAAGTCAAATGGTTAATCGGTTTAAAACGTAATAGGTTACCCATTACTATTATAGGTAGATTTTTTAAAGTACAATACCTTAATAAAAAATAATTTGAAAGTACATTGCTCTAATAAAGAAAAAACAAAAGTAGAATGCTAGAATAAGAAATTTTATGAAAGTATGTTGCTATTTCATGCATTTAACCCTTTCTCAAAATAACCTTTGGCTTATACTATAATATAAATATATTATATGTATATAGGTGGGAGATTTTTCACAAACTCAACCAATAGTACAAACCACATAAATCAATTAATTGAGATATTTATTAAAATGATAGAAGTTTATTTATTATGATTTAAATATTTATAAAAAAATATCGGAGTTTATTTATTATAATAAATACTTGATATTATAAAACAATAAAGATATTCATTAAAACTAGAAGCGTACTCGCGCAATGCAGCGAGATACATCGTGTTTTTAATATTTCATTTTATTCTTTATCTCAGTCGATGTTATAATATGGCTTTATGTAATTTTGAGAAAGCGATGATGTTTTTATTTTTGAATAAAA